CCCCCCCCCCCCCCCCCAACACAAAAAGAGAGAAGGCAGGGCAGAGCCCAACCCGCGCGCGCGCGGGCGGCGGGCCTCGCCTGGTCTTCGATGTCTGCCGCGAGGCCATGGCCAAGTTCTTCCTGGGCGAAAACCGAAACGCTGCGCTTGTCGTGTCGCTCTCTGTGCTTCTTTGGGGTTTCTTATTGGGTTTGGAGGGTGGCACTGTAAGACAGGGTTTTTTTCGGGAATTTTAGGGTTTGGGGATTTCGAGAGTTTTACTGGGGTTTGGGGTTCTACCTGAGCCCAGCTTCATGGACTCGATCCGGTCGGCCTCGGACTGCGCGAGCTCGTAGTCCTCCGAATGGATGGACCTCCTCTGGGGCTTCTCCTCCACCTTGTCTCGATCCTGTCGGGTCGGGGCATAAGGACTGGAGCTTCAGGGACTGTAGGTTTCGAGTTCTGGCAAGGGTTCAGGCGCAGATGCAAAGTGTCCTCGTCCCGCCGGGCCCCGGTGGACCGGGCGGATCTGTTGGAGATCCGGTTCGTCATCGGCGCGGGGGTCACCTGAACCCATTCCGAAGCTCTGCGCAGGAGCACCCGGAAGATCGTTCATTACGGACCCTCCTTCGTTGATCGATTTCGCCGTTACAATGTGCTTGGTGGGCTCGATTGAAAGATACGGTGGCTTGGGCAGGCAGAGGCAGGCAGCTGGCCCCTGGCTCAGCGCTTTGCTGCTTCCCAGTTTGTCGAGTCCCTTGCGAGCGGTTTCTGCTTTCGTCTCTATAGGCCAGGTTGATTGCTTCAGTCGGCTGCTGCTTTAGCACCCTCGGCGTTCGTTCCAGCTGCAAGACTCTTGCAGCCCCATGCCTAGAACAGGACTGATTCTCGCCAGATGCTAATCATCCAGTCAAGGCACCCCAAATCCTAGCTTTCAAACCGAATGAGCGGTACACTTGAGGGAACCCTTTAAAGCCCCAGGACTATACGATGACATTTGCTCATTATGCAGTAAGCAAGGCTCGGAACAGGTAGGATAAGCAAAGGCTTTTCGTAGGATATCAATAACAGCCCACGGTACCTCGGTATCCTTACCCTAGATCTACTCCTTCCCCCACTTCACGACCAAATCCGCTAACCGGGTACTAAACGAGCGGAAACCGACCCAGCCAGGCCCAACCCCAAAGCCTGGCCTCACCGAATTCAAAGATGAACCCGATAATTGATAATACGTAATCAGATAAACCTCACAGATACAGGCGCTGGAGCATGCTGCAGGCCATGGCCGACGCGCATCTAGCTAGTCCATCCCCTACGCGCCTATGCTCGTGCAACGGCGCGAGATGGACCGCAAGTGAGGGTTGGGTGGTGGCGGCGGTGGAGGTCGGGCCGTGCCACAAACCACTAAACATGAACGCAAACGTAGGTTAGTGACACAGAACTCCATGCAGCCCTTGGCAGAAACCTGCCTGGCGAGGCCAATCCGAGATCGCGCGTGGTGGAAGCTGCTCGTCCAGTTTGGAGAGCCAGGATTCAAGCCGCAGGATCAATGCATTGTGCTGCTTCTGCAGCACCTGCTGCCCACATTGGGGGCGTGTCGAGTTGTGCGTCAGGCTTAGAAGTGTCATTCTTGGCTACCGAATGCATCCTAGAGCTTCACACAAACAAAGGCGAAACCCAGTCCATTCATCAAAAAAGCTGGCGGGTACTCCAACAACTCAGACACCGTGCCTCTTCGACCAGCTTTTGCATCTGATCCTTTTGATCCGCTGGGGCATCGCAGTTCGTGTCCATTGCTGGACACAGGCAACTGCTCATCATCTCCGCGATTTGAGCCAAGCTGCAACCGCATGCCGTTTTCCATCCCGTCCTGAAGCTCAAATCTCAATCGCCCGAAGCCCCCGTGCATGACCCCCTTCCGCTGAAGAACTAGAGGCCTCAGCTAGGGATCACCACAGGACCGGACGAGACGGCGAACCCGACTGAAACATTATCTTCAGCTCGATGCTGCTCGAAGTGGGAACCTCGAAAGGTGACTGGTACTTTGTAGTGCTCACCATGGGATTGTTTTTGAAAGTCAGGTAGCCACGGAGATCCGAGATATCAAAACTGCCAGTAGCATTTTAGGTGGCCACGTCGCTGCCTAACCCACACATTCGCCGATCGATGCAACATGGGGACGATCATCCCCATGAACGGAATTACTGCAAGCTTATCCGATCATAAACCAAAGCGATTCACATGGGGCCCTCTCACAGTGCCCCTGTCTAGCCCATCGCTCCAATTTTATCGGATGTTCCCCCAAGGAACCGACATGGGCCCTCTCTCAGTGCCCGTGTGCTAGACATGGGCCCTCTCACAGTGCCCATAATACCGAGCGACTACCGTGAGTACCGGATGTGAGAGATGTTTGTGGGAATGTTTAAGGCGATGATCGTCATATCCCTGCGGGCATGAGTTAGGCTGTGGGTGTCCATCCTTACAGTAGCAACTACTGTCTGATGTCGATGGGAATGATGATGCAGATGGCGACAGTGACGAGCAGGATGACAACGCAGCGAGGAGTGTTCTGGCGTTGGCGGTGGCGATGGTGGCGACGCTACTGGCGATCTGTGTCATGGCATTTATGACGCTACATTTTAACAATTTATTGACTCACCTGGAACTGCACCCAGCTCTTGCTTACACAGGCGACGGCCACAGACGGAACCGCCGCGGACCTGAGCTTTGAAGCTGCCGCTCCCGACTTCTGTGTGTGTTTACCCACGCTAGCTCAGGGCCCGGCTGTGGCAGCACCGGGGGCGGGAATCCGATCGGTGGACTGCCAGAGTCGAAATAAAGAGAGCGGTTCAAAGGTCTTCGGTGGCAAACCGCAAAAGATGTGCCTCAAGTTTGGTGGTGTAAACAGCGAGGGCCCAGGCGGAAGTGGATACCTCGCAGCGACGCGGATCTCTGTCTAGCTCGCTGCGCTTTGAAGAGGATTGCAGAAGAGTCCTTCCCTCATCCCACACGCAAACGTCACTTCAACAGGGCCTCGGCAGGCCATCGCCGCGTCCCGGGGTCTGTCCCTGTGCCTCGCATCCACTCAGCACTTCTCCAGTCTTGTCTCTATGCGTGTGGCGCAGGCACGCAGCACTTTGCTTGAAGTCTTCGTGCGGTGCGGTCTCGGGCGCCGGCAGGCAACCCGTACGGCCTCGAGGTCACGGCACTGGAGGATTCCGAAGTCAAGCCGTGCGAGCCGTGAAAGCTCGAGAGAGAAGCCGAGAGCCCAGCTGATAGGCGCCCGTGAAGCCTCACACGGACGGTGCAGAAGGGCTGCAGTGTGAACGTAGGTGCTGGGTAGCGATGGCAGTTGGACTTCCAGCACCCCCCTCATCTCGTAGTCTTTGTTGGTCCGACTGTCGCAAGAGAAAAGCATCTAGGAGGTGCCTGTTGTGGTCTGTGGCATTCGAGGGGTTGGCCCTCCTGTGCCGAACTCAGTGCCGGCGCACACACCGCGCTCGAACTCAGCTTTGCCCGGCATGCCAACTCGTTTCTTTCTGTGCTCGCCCTTTCGTCCTTGCCCAGGAGGCCAGGCATAGTGCCTGCGTTGCCGGACTCAGGACAGGGACGACAGACTCTGCAGAGGCCGAGGTCCCAACGCTGCGGGCATCCCGGGCATCGTGGGGATGCCAGCCGCGGCTGCCGCGGCTGCCGGCGGGTTCGCAGCTGGAGGAGTTGCTGGGGGCGGGGCCTTCAGCTGTGTTCTGTCCCGGCTCATGGACTAGTAGGGAGTGTGACGGTGCCGATCTTGTCATGCTTGGCCCCCGCGCTTGAGGGAGCCGCTGGCCGTTCGTTCCAGCCTCTCCGCGCAGCTTCGCAGAAGAGTTCGAAGAGAGAAAGGCTCTGCCGAGGCGGCAACCGGCGGAACCTCCAGTGGCGGCGTAGGCCTCAGAGGAGCGGTGGAGACTTTGGGGATCTTTGGGGATTAGCACTCCCAGCAAAGCAACCCGTTGAGGGACTCCGAGGATGGAACTTTGGATTCTCCATGCCCGAAGTCCGCCGCTCGCCCTGCAAAAGCGCGGGGCTGTGTTCTCTCCGGACGCTAAGCTGTATCCATGTATTGCGGCATTCACGTGTTGCTCTGGGAAAACTCAGAGTAGCTGACTGCTAAACTTTCGAGGACTCCACAAGCAGCAGAAATATCACAATCACTACCACCACGGCCACAGCAGCCACTGCAACAACCACCACCACGCCTACATCATCGTCGGCATCCGTGAGCACTTAGATTGATCTGTCGCTGTTGCTATTGCTATGGCAGTCTTGCTCCTTCGACCTATGTATCTTCATGAACCCCGTCGTGATGGCAACCTCAGATATTCAAAACACTCTTCGAGGCTCCGATTCTCTCTTGGGGCCTTCCGGCGCTGGCCACTTTGGTCCAGCTTCAAGGCGATTTGTTTCTTGTACCTTCGCTTCTTGCAGGGGGACGCGGCCTATGAGCCGGCTGCGCTTACAATCGGGCTCGGCGGGAAGTCCAGGAAGAACAGTTGGCTTCAAGATGCTCCAACTCTCTCAGGCTCCTGCTTGCTCAGGAGCTCGCGTGGAACCTGAACATGGCTGAAGCACAGCACGAACTTCGGTTGCCGCACAAGCCGCACGGCATTAAGCACAACGTAAGAGGAGTCGAGAAAACACGTCCGCTTCCATGACGCAGGCCCTGAACATGTTTGTAGAAACAAATGTTAACTGACCGACCCTGCCTCCCTCCCATCTTTCGTGTAGTCGGCCGCCCTTTCCCGGACAAGGGCCTCCGGAGTACTGGTGTTCAGCTCTCTCCTGGGACTGGGACTCTGTGGAGCGGCCCAGCTAATGCCCGCCTGCTCCTTGGCCACTTTCATGGCCTCCAGCCGCGAGTAAACTTTGTGGGTGTCGTGGAACGACCTGGGCAACTGTCGTGACAAATCCTCAGCATCAGATAACTTCAGGACCACTCTGCAAAAGCCCCAAGCGGAGCCAACTTTTGGCAAGACAAGAAGACTGCCTTCGCTTCGGTGTCGCCTCCCAGCCTTTCTCTCCGTTCTCAGCCGCTTGCATGCGCTTCTCCCGGGGGATGCTGTGGAGCGACGTATCCACGCCAATCCCTGCACTCCCAGCGGCTTGTTCGTTTAGGATTGAAGGAGCTCGGCTTGATGGCGTGGGAAGGTTCCGGTTCAGAATTATAGGGTTTGAAACTTGTCAACAAGTGCATTTTGGCCATCAGGGTTCAACAATCCATGAGCCAGGGGCATGCGTCGTTTGAAACGCGCAGTGCAAAGGCTGCTCGGGCACAGCCCGCTTTTTCGGCGGAGGAGCTCAGCGATCCGACCATAGCTAGACTGCTACATCTAGACAGCCCGTGCTTGGCTTCGGCACAGCTGGATCAGCCGACAAACTTCAACGGGACAGATGCTGTACATTGGTCACCTTCATAAGGATCAGCTCCTGCAGCAAACTCCAAGCCATGCCAGGGACACGCAATTGCAGAGAGGCAGCACTGAACAGGACGTTCCGGCCTTTCGGCCCGGTAAACACCTCCTCCCTTCTCTCTTGCGGTATCCGGCAAAAACGGTCGTCGTACGTGGCGGTCATCATCACCATCATCACCGTCACCATCACCATCGTTGTCATCATCATCATCATCATCATCGTCATCATCGTCATCAAAATTACATATCCGTCACCAGCCTTCTCCTCCTCCTGCTCCTCCTCCTCCTCTTGCTGCTTTGCCCATCTGCACCTCAGCCTCTTTTTCTGACGCAGCTCTTCCAAGAGCAATAGGTTGAGCCTCAGAGAGAGAGAGAGAGAGAGAGACTGCTAAGGACCCCATTTCCGGTTGCGAATCGCAACGCGTATAATTGCCGTGAAGGTAGTGGTGGCAACAGGAGGAGCTGGACAGGTGAAAGAGGAGTAGAAGACCGGAGTAGGAGATAGTAGGAGCAGCAGCAGTCAGAGTAACAACGACAAGCAGATGAAGACTCTCCCGAGAATAACCATTGCGGGAGTCCTAGGACAAGGTCACGGCACAGCTCACTGCTTCCTGCAGCTGCCACAACATGCATCTTTCGATCCGCACATGAATTCGTGAGGTCTATAGAGTCCAGAGGCATCTGGTGAAACGCGAACATCAGCTTTCAATTCTGACATCGCCATCGCCGGTTAACATGGGTCAAGACTCCCGGCTTGGGAGCCGTGCTGCCTGGTGCCTGCACGAGCCGCTCACTTTTCGAGCAGCCTGAGTGGACAAGGATACCACGGAGACATCTCCACCAGAACTCTAAACTCGTCCCAGCGGCTGGCGGTCCAAGTCCAGCCTTCCTTTCCGTCGCTCGGAGCCCAGCTGCTCGCGAAGGTAGCGGTTCCTCGGGCAGCGTGGACAAAGCCGTCGCACCAAAGCCGTGAGCTCTCCCTTCTCTCGCCGAGCGTCTGGGATCGGAGCGACTCCAAGGTCTCGGTGACGGCTTTGGGAACCACGGAGGCCGGGGCCTCGTCCAAGGGCAGCTTCAGCGCCTCCTTGCTCTGCAGCGCCCTGCAAGGGCCAGGGCTCTCTGTTTGAGCCGTTGCCGTTGAAAGTTGAGAGATGCAAAGAGTCTTTCTGGCTTCGTCGCCGCAGTGCGGCTCCTACTGTCACCTACCAGTACTCTGCCGGAAACAGCCACCGACCGGCTCCGACCGTGGGCTCGGGAGCACAGCTCAGCAGTCAGAGGCGCCTGAGGCGCAGGTCAAGCTGATCGAGGAGGTTCTTGAACTCCGACACCTGCAGAGCAAAGGGGAAAGTTAGAGAGAGAAAGAGATGGGACGAGCCGAATGCCGATGTTGCTGCCTGCGTTTCTTCGTGCTGTAGCATGTCACTTCATGGCGTTGCACTTGACCAGAACCAAGAAACCCCAGAGGAATGCGAGCCCGGGACCCACGAGATGATGAAGATGGAAAGGGAAAGTTCTCCCCATAAACTTCAGAAATTTCGCAGGGTAAAAGCCCGCAGCAGGCACAGGGCCTCCGTGTCCTCCGGCTCCGCATCTGGGGCCTCTCTGCGTCAGCTGATACTGCGATGCTTTTGCCCGGGGCGGTGGAGGGGTGCCGCGGGCCTCGTCTGCAGCTGCCGGCGGCTGCGGCGCCGCGCCCTCGCCCTCTGGAAAGGCCTCGTCCATCTTGGCCGCAAGGTCCTCCAAGCAGAGCAGAGCAGAGCCGAGGCTCGAGCCTTCTCGGCTTCTTTGGCACAGCGCCGGCGCAGCCTTGAGCTCGCGCAGTTCGGCGTTCTCGGGATCCAGGAGGCTCGGAGGGCACGGCGCCGGGGCCTCCGCGGACTCGGGCGAAGGCTCCTGGAGAGGCCCAGGAACCCGGGCCCCCACAAACTTTCCGTTCCTGTTACAAGAAGCCATAAAGCTCCTCGCATCCGGGCTGCGAATCACGCCGCTGCTGCTTCCGGAACTCGGCCACTTGCCGTTGCAGCTCCCGGTCCTTGGCTTTCAATGGGCCACCAGAAACAGAAAGACGCTGCAGACGCGAACACCTCTTAGACGGGACGGGACGAGAGCGAGGCGCCATCTCCTCGATCTCCCGGTCCACCGTGTTCCCGGCCTGCTCCGCTCGTGAGAGCAAAGCATCCGCGGTCGCGGCGCCCGGTGCGCCCGCAGCTCGCACCTGACATGCAGCTCATGCCCCCCAACCGCCTCAGACTCTGACCCACAAGCAGCCCCCAAAGACCTCAAGAAGATAGGCCCTGGCCCTGGTCAGAGCGGAGGTGAGAACACCAGAGGCGGGAGCTACCATGCTACTGGCGCCTAGCAGCATCAACAGTGCAATGGTGAAAAGCTCTGCGGTGTATGTCCTCGTTGAAAAATACTTATCCATTGCGACAATGATCAGCAATACTGTTGCGATCCTGCTCCTTATCTGAGGCTGATTCTATCCGTCGTACCAGCACCAAACCGCAAAGGAAAACCTGCAGACTCTGCAAGTTGCAATACCATTCCAGTCTGACCTCCCTTGCTTCTGGTCTCCCTCCGGCCTGGGTCCTTGGTGTGGCTCGCGGCGTGGAGCGCCCCCCTCGGCTGGGCGGGACCTGGACTGCAAGGAATGGCCGACAGTTGGGTCTTCCGATGGGCGCAGCCTGCGGCTGCTGCTCGACTTGTTCCGACTACAAGAGAAGTTTGTTGAAGTTGCCGTTGCCGTATTTCTGCCGGCTGAGGGCATTTGGTCTCTGCTCCTATGCAGGTGAAAACAGGGTGACAGAAGTCATGAAAGTGGCGCAGGTGTCGCGACTTATGATAGATTCTAACAGAGACAGATGTACCAGCAGCAGCAGCAGCAGTAGTAAACTGTGAAGCTTGTGACCACGGTCTGAACGCGAAATGCTGCCATGGAAAGCATGAGAAGCGTATGGTACAATCATCATGCCAACAGCAAAGTCGTTCACGCGAATGCTTGCAGCATTTGATCCGGAGACGCTGTCATGATTGAGCAGCACGTTAGTGCTGATTTAGTGTTCATTCTCAAAACCCAGTACTCATCGTGCGCATCCGCATGAGATCTACTGTCACTGCGTCACTGCTATGCGTGCTAGTATCACTACCTTGATCTCACTACCTGCTGGCGTGCGTCGCTATGATGTCACAAATTGCAGTACGACCCGATATCATTTAGTAGTTGCTGGGCTCGTTCGCACACTTGGCACTGTGCTCGTCGCTGCCAACGTGCCGTGATCGGATAATCGCGCTGGTTACCAGAGTTGCCTTTGCTATCCTGTGCTAGCATCTATAGGCCTTTGCCGTCACTGGCAAGCTGGGATGCACAGATTAACAACAGCGGCCTCTTTCTCTCGCTGCGCCCGGAGCGCGGCCAAAGCGGCCAGCTCCTCAACTCAAACTTACATGCGAGCACTCCAGCTACAAGTTCGAACGCGTTGATGACGGTAAATTATAAGACCGATGAAAAAGAAGATGCCTATGATGATACAGATGATGATGATGGTGTTGACGATAATGGTGGTGGCAATGGTGATAGTGTTTTATGAAGATGAAAGATGGGGGTGGTGGTTGTGGTGGTGGTGCTGGCGGTGGCGGTGATGATGATGGTGTGTGATACGTACTGACCGTAGCTGGAGACCCGAAGGGGCTTTTCTATTGCGCATCGTTCACGAAGAGTTGCGATTGGGAAACTCTGGGTTGTGCACTCTTTCGGATTTTAGCCCTTAAGCTTTGCAGGACTGTGCTCATTCGGATCTTGGCACAAGAGGTTCGCATTTCCGGGAGATTAGGATGTAGGGATCCACGAAGCGCCGCCTTTCATCCTCAGTCCTACAAGTAGCGCCCTGAACCGAGTGAGATTGCGGCCCGCCAGCGGGATCTGATGCCAAATCTATCGGGACAGGATGCCGAAGCTGGCTGGTGAGGATTGCTAGACATAATATACATATACATGTACATATACATACACATGCATATAGACATAACACATATACGCACACACATACATATACACATACAGATAGAGATACACATACATGTACATATTATACGTATACATGCACTGTTCCCGGTGCACTCGCTCGCAGCGCATGTCTGGCAAAATCTCACAAAAAACGCCGGTGTCCTCGTTGAGTCTGTGATCCTCCAGGTCCGGCTCTTCCTCAGGGCTCTTCATACTTAAGATCTTTCTTGGGGGTTTAGGGTTTAGGGTTTGGGGTTTAGGGTGTGGGGTCTTGTTATGGTGGTGGGAGGTTTTTCGCCGGGATGCACAAGGGGCAGCGTTTGCTTCGGAAGGCCTTTTAGTGTTTCCGGCAGCAGGCGTGGGTGTACACAGATCGCAGCGCATCCCAGAGCGGCGCAACTTGCATCTTCACTGCGGCAAGTATGACAACAAAAGTTTGGCTGGATAACTATTCATCTCGACATCTTTGTGACTGCCAGAACTCTTGATTTTGTAACGGCGCTGATGTTGTTACTCCTTGTCAGTCTTCTTCATTGCACATCTTCGGATAGCGACTTGAAGGATGATTGGATGGATGTGCGATGTTGTGCCAAGCAGCCGTCAATCAGCAAAAGCAGCAAAAGCTGGGAGGGATTTGTACTTAACCCAACTGCTGAAGCCCATGTAAGACTTTACGGCCTGAGCCCTGAGGCGTCCTCAGGCTACTTCGTGGCACCGGGTGCCCTTTTCCTCCCCCCCTGTTGCCGGGTCCTGGGCCAGCACCAGGTCGGCCAGGCTCGCCATGGCAAGCGCAGCGAAGCGAAGTCTCTTTCGAGCGATTTCCGCAGCGGAGAGAGAGAGAGGGGTCTCAGAAGGAAGGAGACGAAAGAGAGGGTGAGTTTTTGATTGAGAGAGGAACACTCGTTTTAACCGCAGATGTAATGTATCGCAGGGAAAGGCGACTGAGCCGATGGCAGTCGGATGTTGGGTTGGGCTTTGCTTGGACACTCAGGCGGGCTGACCCGACCCATGCTCCACGTGTCACATGTTGCGAGGTTGCACGTGTAATCAGTCGGCCTGAGCGGCGGCAAGCGGAAACAGTGCACGTGCGGCCCCCCAAGTCGCAACAGCATTGGCACATGTCAGGACCTATGTACTGCATTTTCCAAACATGTCTGATGCGGGAGGTCTCCTCGTGCTGCGGCGGCGCTCAGGATAGGAGCTTTTTAGGTGCTGCAGGTCGGCAGGGCCCCGGACGAGGTCCGGAAAAGCTGCGGCTTTCTGCGGCGGCAAGGCGGCGCTGGCGCTGCCATGGCGAGGCCAAGCTCTGGGATTCAGCTGCGGCTTTGGGATTGGGAGTCTGCCCTTTTTGCAAATCATGTAAAAAGAAGCAACGGGCAGGTTGCGGCATTTTCAATTCACTCCAGTGCTGCCGAAGCATGGAGGGAATGCGGCGACGTTCGGAGGTAGATTCAGGTATATTCAGGTAGATCAGTTCACAGGGCCAGGGCTGCGCTGAGACACGAGGCTGCAGGCGAAAATGCCGAAGTGCTCATCGGCCAGTTCTGGGCAGATGTCGGGGCCACGACCCCAGGCCCCAGAGAGGAGCTTGCATCGCTAGAACCGTAATGATGTGGAGACGCAAAAGTCCACAACATGCCGCAAGAGACATCGAAACAGCCATCGCATTGATCTGGCCGCTGGCCCAGAAATCTCTAAATCCTGGAAAGTTCCCCTGTCCCAAAGCCACCCGAGGCGCAGGGCCTTGCACGTCGTACTCGGCATTGTTCTCGGAGTGCTCCATGTAGTCGGCCTCGTCGGAAAGCCACGCTTTGCAAGGAGAGGAAACGGGGCGGGGCGGGGAAAATCGGAGCCCCCCGTGCCGCACAGCTCAGGGCTCGGGCGAAGGGCTGCCGCAAGGGCCCGTCCACAACAACCTCAAAGACTCGTCAAGACTCGTAGCAAGCGAGCAAAGCGAGCAAGGTGGTCGTGCGAGCGAGCTGGTCGTGCAGCGTGCGGTCTCCTTTGAAGTGTCCTCTAACTCTTGGGCTCTTGCCAGGAAGCCCTGTCCGCCCGGCTCCAGGGCGTGCTGCCACTCGACCTCGACTCACCGACATTCACTGGGCCCTCCCTTGGCCTCTCCTCTTCGGCTCGCATTCCCAATCAGGGGCGGCTGCGCGCACTTCACGATCATCGATGGCATAAACACCTGGGCAAAGACCTCAGGTCTTGAAAAGCAGACGGGACTCGAGGGCTTCCCAAACTCACGCCCAGCCACGGTTCAGAGAGTGTTGGGCAGCCACCTCAACAGCGCAACTTGTCAAGGCAGCAACTCTGCCAGCACTTTTGCGCCAAAGGGGAACTTCAGCTCTGCGCATCCTTGTGATGCCGCAGATAGTACGCCACATGCTGATCCAACAAGTCCTGCCAAAGAATCGGCACGGAGATCGCGGAAGGTCATGCTGGCTCAGCTGTATAGGCATTCGAATCAGACGGACATCTAAAACAGCTGTTCCCGACTTTCCCCGACTCCTCCGGGTCAGCATCGTACGCCGCCGACTTCCTGGCACAAGTCAAAGAATTGCAAGCACAGGTATCGAAGCATCTAATAGTCTAAGAGCACCTCCACAAAAGAAATGAAGACCCCTAAATAGACTTCCCCATGATCGACGACCGGGACCGCTCTGCTCCGCTCGGCCTGAGGTTGCCGGAACTTGCCAGCCTCAGGAACGAGTTCATGTGCTGACGATCCGGAGTGCACAAACTTATCCCTAAACCTCCCCCCCTCCAACCCGCACGCTGCACTCGTGCCTGCCGTGCTTCGGAGACTGGCTGCTCGAAGCCGTTTGCCTGGTGCATACAACGCACTGGACTGCAAGGAATGATCAAACGCTCTCAGCGCCCAGCCAACTGGTTTCAACAAACCTGAATACTAAAACCCCAGAAAACGAAACCCTGTAAAACTGCTACATCCTCGTCGCCCTGACGTTGGCCTGATCTCCTCAGGCTGCGTCTTTGGGCTGCTTGATGGCCTCGATAGCCACGAGACGGACTGGAATCTTGCTCTGATTCGTCTGCTTCCAGCACACATGCACGCAAGTCATCACGCTTTGGCGTCTTCCCGTCCAAACAAAGATATCTTTACCAATTTCTCCCTAACCCCCCCGGTACCTACTATATAGGGCACTAGGGGCTCTAGTACCCTGTATAGTTTATAGTAGGTACCTGGAGGGTTAGGGTCTCAGATAGCACGAAATACAGAGGCCTTGGTCAACGTTGATCCGCCTCCGGCTCTGGGAATTCAGGAGGCATACGACCTAGTGCTACGCTGGAGGCACTTCGTCTGCGCTACAATTTACAAA